TCTCCTTCATGTCACATATGGGAATAAATTCTGGGACAAATAAATCTCACCCAAAAGACACTTATTGGTCAGGATGTGTGTGTAACCCACATGAATGCGACCAATATTTTCTTTAACTGAAATAGGGACATCTGGGTCTGAATTAGTTAATCAAAGTAAAGCAAAATCCAAGGAAATGGAAAAGCGGATTATAAGAAAGAGAAAGATAGGGGGGGGGAGGTCAGCTGATTTTTGTCAAGCACTTGTGCAGAGTAAAGTGAATGTCATTATCAACTTGTAAATTAACTGGAAACATGATTTGACTCCATGTCTAATCTCCAAACTGTCTTTGCTGGATTATCATTGCAAACAATCCTGGAAGACATTGAAGGCGAGTTGGAGTGAAAATTTAAAATTCTCAGTAGTGAATATGATGCTTACTTAGACATATCTAGGCTGCCTTTGGAAGTTCTCTGACTTCGGATTTTTTTAGCAGCAGCTTCCAAAGTGAAATGTGACATAACCATGATGATCAAATCATCGGCTCTCAAATAGCTGAGCTGGATTTATTGATGGCAAGTTCAACAGTGCCAAATAATGTGATTGATCTATGCCTGTTTTTGATACTCAGAGTTTCTGTTACTACTGCAGAGATGATTCTCAAAACTGAAGCTCATTAAAAGTTACTGGAGATAGAGTATGTCGCAAGATCACTTATCGAATTTGTCCATTTCAATTGAATATTAAACTGTGGAGAAGATACTTTGACCAAGTTTTCTGCAAATGCTCAAAAGGCTAAAATATGATAACGCTTGTTCAGCTAATTTTTGAATTTGTTGTTTTTCAAGTACTAATCAACGCCATTAAAGGTATTTCATTTATATTCTTCCTCCAAAAAAAGGGATGCCATTATGAAGATGGGGCCCTGGGGAGCACTTTGCCTCTGTGTGTGTGTGTTCACACACACACACACACACACACACACACACAAAATCTGATGTTTGGTTAGATTTTGGGAAGTGGGTTGGGATAAGGATGTTTCACCAACTTTTTGTATGTGAATTGTTTATTTTGAAGGAATCTCAACATAATGTTCCAGAAATTATACTAAAGTTAATGATGCTTCAGCTTCTAATTCATCTTAATCAGAATAAAGACTTTCTCTAATTATTACACAAAATCCATTTATCATCACAGGTGATTATACAGCATCAAAATAGGTGAATTTTATAGCAATAGATATTGATTGCTACAGGTCTCTGAACATTTTTATTTTGTTCTTCATTCAATTCAAATGGAATGCATTTGTTAAGCTTTCACTTAACTACTTGCTCTTAAATGATTTAAAATGTTTCCAATTAATACTTTGAAGTTTGCACATTTTCCAGATTGAGATATTTGGATAATTTCTTCAGCTTTCAAATCTTCAGCATTAATAATTTTTCAGCTAACATCACTAGATTTTTTAAATTTTTATTTTATTAAAATTTTACCATTTTCACTTTAATATTAATTGTTTTTATTGAAATGTTTTAGCTTCAGTTCCATTCAAGTCCCAACTGAAACTCTTAAATGTATAGAACTGGGAAACCATAAATTGAACAAAGGCTTTATATCTTGTATAAATGTATCTCTATGTAAATATAAGTTTTAGTGAATTAATTTCATACTGAATAATCAGCAAATATTTTACATCTTTAAATAATATTAACTTTGCTATTAATGGTAAAAATGTTAAGATTTAAGCAAAATTGGAAATTTTATGTGAAATAGTAATATTAGCCATTTTCTGGCAAGGAAACATTTGGTATTAATTAGCTGAGCAGCCAGTACAGCTTTTATAAAATATTTTGGGGAAAATAGGTTTTTCATATACACTAGCTGTTATTGCTTTTTCCAGTATTGAAGGGAGGTTTCCTTTCTAACCATTTTTTAAGTAATGTGGAATGTCAGCATCTTGTCATTATTTTCTCTTCAAGTTACATATGCTATCCATTTTAGTTTTTGCTGCTGTTGGTATTCTTCAAGTGAAGTGGTTTCTGTTATTTAGTACAGTTTTTTTTTTTGTTTGTGAATCTGTACTGCTAGTCCACAATGTTAAAAAGGGGTGATCTTTGCCCAGATCCTCTGGCTTTACTCCCCCAAAGTTAGTTTCCCCACAAAATCACTGAAAAAAACTTGATAAAAACTAGGTTTTATCATCAAACTCTTTTGTTATTAAGAGGGAAGACTAAAGTATTTTTTAATTATCTAATATTTTTTTTAATCCTTTTGAGAACATTTAAAATATTGGTTAAAAATCTTTTTTATCTTGTGTCGGCAGATGGACTATAAATTAACATAGCAAGTTTTAGTAGTGAAAGACACATTGATCTCGAAATTTTTGCAAAAATAAAACCAGATTTTAATTAAGCTTTTGGGACCTATTCAAGATTGAATTAAATTATTTCTGAAAATCTTTTTTTTTTTTCTTTACAGGTTACACTCCACTTAATTTTATGAAAACTAGAAATTCAACAAGATAATTTTTAGTGAGTGTACTAGATAAAATTGGAACTTCTTGGAGAATTTAAATCATTTTATTTTATTTTTATTTTTTTTAAATCAGACCCTGTCTTACTGAGAATATTCTGCATCTTAAACAAAAATAAGCAAAACTAAGACATTATTTAATTAGAAAAGGTTTTAATTGCTTTTATGAATAAGATATATTAAGGACACTATAGTCTTAAGAAAAAATGTATTCAATAAATAATGAATTTTTACAAGATTTGTTTTCATTATTTTAAATGGGATAATTTATAGTTTTTAAATCCTTTTAAAATTCAGTTTCAATGGCATAAAGGTGAGGGAATATTGTTAAGTAAAACAATTTATGGACCACATGTATTTTAAAAAGAATTTTTTTTTTTTTTTTTTTAGATACAGATATTCCTACAAGCTATTATTGGAAAATTTAAAGTCAAAGTAGCTAAACTTCAATAAAACATGAGATTACAGAATGTTTTCCTAAATTTTTAAGATTGCTGAGTACTTAAAAATTATATATAAAAAGACACTCGTGTTATATTATTTAATTATTTTTTATACATAAAGTCCCCATAGAGCAACATTATAAACAATCTTTCATCAAGCTGTCAACACCCCTAAGGCTTAAATAAACAGCTGCAGCTGTGTTAAAAAAAAAATGCATTTCTGCAATATTTTAAACTTAAAGTAAACAATATTTGTTTCAAATCATATTAATTAGTTTAAATCAGCTAATATTCCTCAAATAATGTTTCAGAAAAGCATATTTTATTTTTGGAAGATTTTTTTAATAAAGAGGATTCTGTTCTGTTCTGATGAAAACAATTCCAGCAATTTCAAAACGAAAACTTCCAATCAATTTAAATTAGTTTTTTAGTAGGGCAAAATATTTTGCCTATTGGAAATATTAAATTTAATTTATTAGCTTCATGAAAGATTTTTTTTTATTTTTAAAAATTAATTTTAAACCTAAGATATTACAATTCTGTGGGGTACCTACTACTCAGGTTTGTGGTGCAGCCTCTTTTATGTTCAATTTCCTTTTCTCCTATACTTAATTTGTTCTATATACTGATGTATTTGAAGTGTTTAGCATTTACTAATTCCTCATTCTGATTTTTTATGATGGATTCAGGGTATGTTCTATCACTGTGTTCCCAGAAAAACCTTTCCAAAACAGAAACTATTATCTGGAATTGGAGTAAAATCAGTGATGGCACCTAATTTAGTTTAAGTTTTAATGTATCTGTATCTACTGATGTTGCTTTTTCTTTCTTTTTTTTTTTTTTTTTTTTTTTTTTTTTCAAAAGTTTTCCCAGTTCCTTTACCAGTTTACTTTCAATATCATTTTGGTTTTTTTCTAGATTGCTGTTAGCATGAAATGTGTGTTCATTGAAATCCTAATTGTTTCTTTCTACCCTACCATTACAGACCTACTGACTTTGTAGCTGTTAGGAAAATAGATTCCACATTTTAGGGCTTTAATTACTGATTGTTCTTAGTTAGCTAAACAGAATAACTGCTACTGTCTTTAAGTGCATGTGTATTTCTACTATTGGTGGCTTGTAGCAATTTTTGCCTTTTCTCTATGGGATGTTGAAAAGTTCTGTGCCCCTTCCACCCCCAAGAAATTGTTGATTTGTTCAAATTCCCAGAATCTAGCCAATTAATAATTTTACATCAGAAGTAAAATGAGCAATGAACTTTTCAGTATCCCCTCATATAACAGCCTGCTTTGTATCCAATCAGCTTTTGCCTCTCTCTGCTATTGTAGCTATAGTTTAAAAAAAAAAAAAAAATTCAATCATTTTAAATTTGCCTTCATGTGAATTTCTTTTGATAACTTTTAACCTTCAAATATGTATCAATATTAAAATCTCTACTGTTTTGAATTTTCATTCATCAGTTTATTGGTGTATATCAAGAGATCCACAAACTTTTTATACTATCAACCCCTTCATGGAATCCTTGAACTCAATTTGACGCCCCTACTAGGCATGTACAAAAAAAATTAAACAAAAAAACAAAAACCTTAAGTGTAGGAATTCTTTTGTCCATTTCATTGTTTTTTTTCAATAGGTTCATTTTTAGCTTTACATTTTGCTATTCCTATTTCTTTTCCTATACTAGACATGTTGTTCTTATGAGAAAAACTTGATAAATAATATAATTATAAACACATTAAAAAAAAAAAAAAAAGACATTTTAACTGAATTGGTTCCCATTATTACTAGGAGGATGTGTTTGATTAAAAGTAGTAAAAGCATTAATATTGGTTTTTCTCATGTCACCATGATTTATTTAATGATTCCTTTTTTGCCACCCCCAGCCTACCCCCACACTTATTGTCCCATTTGGAAAACCCTCTGGAATAAACTTTTTTTAACATAAATAATGTTCTGAAATTTCATCAACATTTATAAGAATTGTGCAAATTATTTCTATCATATTTATTTATTATTATTTTTTTTTTTATTTTTTTTATTTTTCAGAAGCCAGGCTTTGTACAAAGCCTTCCATCTGACTTCAGTGATGTGCAGCCCCGAACTTATGACCCTAACTATATTTCTAACATCAGCAACCAAATGCAAATACCTGATCGCCTGCAGGTAGATGGTTCGACTGAGGCTCGTCCAAAATCCCCAGTACGTCACCAGGAGATGCTCACCAATATGACAATTCCTGACAGGCTTGTCTTTGTAGGTCAGCAACACTTCCTTTTACATAGTTGTGTGTGTATATCCCCCCCCCCTAATAATGGAGGTTTGTTTTTAATGATGCTATGATGTTACCATAAACATGTTATAATGTAATAAGTTACCACTGGTGATTGCTACCAAAACCTAAAATTGAAATTTATGTCAAAACTTTTCAAAATATATGTACATACATAGTTTGTACAGGTGACAGTGTAGGTAAAAAAAAAAAGAAGTTTCTTTCACTTTTTTTAAGGAAAAAAAAAATTATTACCTTCCAAACCAATAAAGTGATAACGTTGTCCAGTAAATCCAATATTATCCTTCTTTCCTACTTTATTATTTTAATGTTTAGGTCATCAGAACACGATACATTCAGAGAAGGTGTGTATTCAACATTTTGATAATTTTGTGGCAATATGCACTTAAAGGTTTTAAGTAGTTTTGATCATATCTTGTTAGCTGTAAGGAATTGTAAATGTAGGACGTCCTTACACTTAAGTACAATAATAACAATATAATTTATTAAGAAATTATTACAGGAAATATCAAGTTTTATGGAAACATTGACAATTATGTAGTTACATAACAAATAAAAATAATATAAATTTTGATGTTATATTCGATTTGTTGTTAGGTATTTTTCATTTTCTCCTTTGTTATTGGCAGCATTGTAGAATACTTTGGCAATGCAATGCTAAGTTTTCTAAGTTGAACAAACTGGAGCTATTTCATTTATGTTTTGTTACCTCTCTTTTCTATTGTTGTTTTTAGATCACTTTCTTCCAGTCATTTTGATGGGCAATAGAAAAATTCTGAAATTTAGATTGATCTTATTCCATTTCAAAAATAAAGCTAGTAAAAAGGAATATTTTAAATTAACATACAACCCAAAATAAAATGCTTTTGACAAAAACCTTAATGATTTCACTATAATTATTTAACAATAATGTAATGATGTTCTTCAGACAAATCTACAGTTTACGTTACCTCATGCATGGTTACGGACTATAAACCTAAATTGAGCTTGAAATATTGTGTAATTGGCTCTAAGTTTTTGGAAAATACTTGGATATTATATAATGAATAATTAGCAGTGTGGTGGGGGGAAGCAATTTACGAGATATATATATATATATATATATATATATATATATACTGTAACACATTTTTTCCAGACTGAAAACCACTCAAACATTTCTGTAATCTTAGAGGATAAAAATAACTTAAATGCTTGTTTCAAAATATCTTTTTTCTAAATAATATTTTAAACACCATCAAATTTGTTTTAATTTAATAATTTGTTTAATGATGAAATACTGGTTAAGTGATTTTTATTGTTTCATAATTACTTTTATTATTTACTCTAACAATATTACTTGGTTATCCTTTTAATATTTCATGTTCATGCGTGTATATTAATATCTGTATGTTTGCTATCATTGCTTTATGGTTTTGTTTATCTATGGTGACAAACTTTTTGTGGCCTTTTGTACTGTATTGTTAAAAATAAGGTTCCCGCTTTTTGATCAACATATTTATTTATTTATTTTTTTTTTATTTTTTTTTGCAACATGCCAATGCATGTTGTAATCCTCACAGTATTTAGTATTGCTGAAGCTATCACTGACATTTTTTTTTTTTTTTTTTTTTTTTTCATTCAATTTTGCAGACCAATTGATGAAATTTAAGATATGCAAGAAACAATATTGCATTTTTATTAAATAAGTATTTATTTCAAGTAAAACAACTGTACTTTGCACCCCCTACTTGTTTGCACTTCTCCTCAAAATTTGGTTTTGATCAGTTAATGTATGGCTATTTTAGAGGGATGGACGAAAGGACTGACAGAATTTTAGATAGATTTGAAGATTTGTAAGAGGATAAAAAAAGTCTATACACACCAAGTTGCTCTGTGAAAACTGATACTAGGTCCATCTCAAAATGTTATAAAAATCTACAGCACACAAAGAAAATGTTTCAAAGTGATGATTCATTGTAATCTTTCATGGAAATACTTGGAATTCTTTTCTACTTGACAGACTTTTTTCTCATTAGTTAGTCATACATCATCTATTATCATGTCCCATCTGCAATTCGATTTTTCATTGTATTTTCAATTAAAAATCTTGACTTCAACTGTTTACTTTGTGATATAATTAAGACCACCCATCCCTTGCTATCTACAGATACTTGAGAATAGAACAGAAACCAGTATTATCTTTTTTTTTTTTTTTTTTTTTTTTTTTTTGGTTAAATGAGACTTTGATAAAGTTTATTTTTGTTGATAATCTAAAATGTTTAACTTGATGTATGCAAATTGTTACAATTGTATTTATTTCCTTCCAAATTTAAACTCATGACATTTGGATCAATCCTCCTCTCTGATATGTATGGCAAATCAGTGGCTTTGAATTAAGTATTACAGATTTTATGAAACTGAAAAGATTTATTTTCTAGTTTGAATTTAACCAGCCCAGATCTGATTAATAAACCAACAGTAATTTTGAATGTTTCATTGTGATTGCTCATATCTAATGATAGGCATTCATTTAGAACCACTTAACAATTAAGCTGATACACTTTACACTTGGGAGAACTAAATGAGGGGTAAATGAAAAGACAAACAGCTGGAGAAATCATTTGTCTGCAATCTGAAATAAGTCTGTGGATAAATTTTATTCAATAAGTTAATTGGGTTTACCAAAAGTTTTCTGCTGTTTTGTATTCTTTCAACTCTTGGATTTGGTGATTGGATCCTCTGGCAAAGAAATTTCATATTGGCCAATAGCTAAATAAAACTAGCTTACCAATCTGTAAATCCCTGATAGATTCTCATTAACATTTTAATAACCTCCACATGCTGGCATGTCTTTATATTATACTTTTGATTTTAATTTTTAAACAATTGTACAAAATATTTTGAAACAGCACTTTTCTGTGGAAGTAAAGATTTATCTGTTTGATTTCTTGTGGATTCTAAAAATCCTTAGTGTTCTTTACTTAAGCCATAATGCAGCTCAGTCATAACTGGAGGCCTATCTTAAATCTTGTCGTTTTACTGGGAGCAAAGGTTTTTGTTTGGGCTTGTAGTGGTTCGCTGCTTTAGTTAGCTTTAAGAATGTTTTGTTTTTTACATTTTGAATAACTTTAACTTATTTAATTGAAGTATAAGATTTCTTTTCTTTTGACTTGTTAAATTTTTTTGTTTTCATTACAAAAATTTTAATTATTGACATACTTTTCTTCAATTCTGTTTTTAGACTGTGAAATGTACATAAAAATGCTATTGTTACATAAAGTCAATTTAAAATTTTTCTCTGGTATTGTTATTCATAACAGCAAATATATTGATAATAAAATTTTTTTTTTTTTTTTTTTTTTTCATAATTCTGTTTTTAATTCTAAAAAGTATTTAAAAAAAAATGTTGGATTTTAGTTTACCATTAAAAAACAAAAACAAAAGAGCATACGTAATATTTTATACTACAAAATTAATAAATCATTTATTAAGAATAAAGTTAATGTCATAATTAAATTAATTCCTGATATTTTTAGTTATCATGTGTACAAAATGTTAACCTGCTGCAAAATCACACATTTTTAAGAGTCAATTTTTTTCTATTTCTTTAATCATAAAAAATGTATGCCAAAATAAGTCAGCACAACAATAGTTACTTTATTTCTAAATAATAAAATGGTTACTTTCACATTTTGTTTCAGAATTCATACTTCTGATGTTTTTTCATTAAAACATTTAATGTGGATAATTCAGAGATTAAAATGCATAAAACATTTCATACACCCTTGTTAATGGAATGGGAAGTGATTGATCTGAAGTTCTGTCATATTATATATTAACTGTCATAAGACCATAAAAAAAGAAAAAATATGCATAAAGAAAAATATACAAAGATAAAGAGGATTAATATTTCAGGCCAAATTAATTGTCCTTAATCTTCACTTTTTTTGTTTGAATTTCTTAAACTATCACAAACCAAAATTAAGTCTTTGCTTCCAGTGAAATGAGGCGACTTGAAATATGCCTCCAGTTCTAGCCATGAGTTACACTATGACTTGGCCTGAAGTAAAGGACACCATGGCCTGGCAAATTCTCAATATAAATGTCATTCTTTAATGATATAGCATTTATGTTCATAGTTCTAGTCACTGAAGATTACTTATTTCATTCTACTTACATTTAAATATGAATATGTTTTAAAATTAAATTTATAATTAATTGCATTTTGATGTACTTAATCATGAAATTTAATTATTATATAAAAATATATATTGTAATAATCATATACATCTTTTAGTGTTCTGATATTTTTCAAATTTTTTTAAAACCTTTGTTTGAATATTTTTATGGCAGTACTCATATACGCAAACAGTCAAAATATTATGACCAATAATGTGGCAAGAATGACAGCTACTGTCTCATAACTGCATATGACATAGATGTACATAAATAGGTAAGCTGGACTCTAGTACTCTGAGTGCCACAGTTATGGGCAAGAAAAATTTGAGCAACTTTGATAAAGACAATTTTTATGGCTGAGGTAGGGGTGGGTATCAACACATGATACATTAACCATTGTTGTGTATGGGACTGTGATAACCAGTGTTCATCACTGAAAGCATCAGGACTTGCCTGATCCAATGAATCTCACTTGCTCCTACACAGCAGGGTACATGTGCATCATTATCCTGGGGAATCGATGGCACTGTTGTGATACAATGGCTAGGGCAACAGTTTGCTGGATACTAATATCTATGTAAAAAGTACTTTGTTATACAGGATGTCTCAAAAGTTACTATCTATTTCAGTGAAATCTGACATTTTTTAAGTGTTATACTGTCAAAGATTCACATCGTTGGTGCAAATTTTTGTTTTTACAAAGTGTTAATTTGTGTGTGTGAGTGAGTCCTATTCTGGTAGAATTTGAGATGTAGCTGAGCTTAGAAATCTTATTACTCGTGCACTTCAATGAATAATACATCAGA